TAACACCGGTATCACCGTCAACACCGTCTATCGTGGCAAGCCTAGCTGCAGGGGAAAAAAAAATCAGGTTCACGGATATTGATCTGTCATTTCTCTAGATTCACAGAATTCACTCACTGCTGAAAGCGCCGGATTGGTTTTTATTAAGTGCCATTTTGTGTGCTCGTGAATCATCTTTTGAGTGTAGACGCCATGTAAATAAAAGATTAATTGTGTAATTTAGAGAGCTTTATAAATTATAACGGATCTTTGTGAGATCTCTATGAACTAAGATTAGTGACGCTTTTTAGTGATAATAAGAGGAGCGTGCTTTGCACTTTCCAGGCTATAATCCATTCAGAATTTGTATGAAACTTTCGTTTTCGGCACATATACGCTGATATGTTTTGGGAATGACATCTGCATATTTATGCTGGGTTTATTCTCGAAATAACGGTGAAGCAATAGACGGGACAAAAATATATTTCCCCCTTCTCCTTAAACAACTTAGTGTTTCAGCTATGAAATAGTTCAGTTTTGTATGTAGCCTAATGGCAAAGTGTTTATATTTAGTTTCGTTTTTTATTCAGCTTATTTAGAAAAACGTTTGGAGCATTTTTTATTCGTTAATTTTTTTTTTTTAACGAACAGCGCCCAGCGGAAGACCATCATTGTCTGTTTGATCAGTTTGCCTTCTCAGATCATCACGACTTGCCTAAAATAAAAGATATAAAACAGTTCAAGTATAAAACAATGGTAGCTTAAACGTTAAAGAATGTGTGCTATTAGGCGCATATAGTTTGCTTATAAAAAGCTTGCAGGACATCGAGGCGCCAGAGCAATCACTTGCATTTTTTCAGTGGGAGCAATTTAAAGTTATCCGTCATTTTTGCTCACAAAGTACGAGTAATACATCAAAAAACGTTACAGCGTTTTTATAAAATAAAGAAAACCAAAATTATGCGCTTTGTCGTCTGGCAAGAGGAGATTGCCAGTCAGGATCTTTGCGACACTGACTCATCTTAATTATTTATTAATAAACTTATTCTATGTCCTTACTCTTTCCTCGACACATTCATTGTTATTTGTTTTTGCCGGTGCTTGGGGCGAGTTTTAGCTTATTGTGTGCGCTTGAACGCGGATTCACAGTAGCAGTTTTAACATGGAGTGACACGACATCTGACTTACAGATGACACTGGCACATGCCACTAAGTGTAGTGACACTTCCGGTGGCACGTCCGGATTTCTGCTGTCATGTGTCACTCGCTAGTGGCATGTGTAGTGACCTGTGTCACTCAGAGTGTCGCGCTGCATGTCACTGCAGTGACATCGACACCCGGCGAAGCTTATGACATTAATTAACACGAGCAAAACCATATTTAATCATTACGCGACTTTTAACCTAATTTATCGCGTCGCAAGTTAGTTTATTTGCTGAGCTACTCCACGATGTTTTAATTTAAACGCATTTATTTTATGTATTCGTAGTCATACTTCCGTACGTAATATAGTCATTTGACAGTACATGTCAGTCAAATTTATTTTGGCATGCCTATGTATGGGAGGGGTTACACTTATCTGTTGTACTGTATATTATTGCATCCTGGCAGTTCCTTTGTTCCCTACAATATGGACTTCTCTATGTTTTTAATTCATTCATTTATTTTATTATTTAACTTATTTTCATTTTAAGGTATTTTAAATAATATCCTTTAAAAAGTTATAATAAAATGCATTTTGAAAACTCATAACATATATGCATGTAAGATAACAAGTGTCATTTGCCTAATGTTTTTTAAATATTAAAGCAAAGAGACTTATAAGATTAATGTGCTTATAACGTGCTTATACTGACACCTACTGGCACATGTCACAAGATCACTGACACTGGCATGTGTCACTGACATTACTGGCATGTGTCTAAAAAGAACCACTTGACAATAATGATGATCAGGGTTACACATAGGCTGTTAATATATTTGGGCCCAGGGGCCCACAAGTTATGTGTTAAAAGTGCGTTGCATACATAGTACCCCCACCCCTACTCACCTCAGGGGCAAGGAAAAAAAGTTCAGGCTCAGGAATTTTTTCCACTATCAGCCCTGTGACTTTAAATGTCTGGAATAGACCTTTTTAAGCTTCATAAGCTAGAGCTCTTTATCTAAAGGTGTTGTATTGTGTTAATTCAATTGTAAGCTGTATATTTGGTTCGGTGTAAACACATTTTTTTGTGTTGTGTTTGTGGCTCTGCAGTCGACAGGAGCTCTTCTGGTCTGTTAGAGTGGGAGTCGGTGAATGATGCTATGGAGGCTCTTGCTTTGATGAATCACTACCAGATGAAGAACCCTAGTAAGTACTTGCATGAATCTTAACACTACTACAATGGCAACTGCATATTTTTTTTATACGTTTGGACTCAACCGTAAATCACAATCTTCCTTTTTTCTCCACAGGTGGGCCGTACCCATACACTCTTAAATTGTGTTTTTCAACTGCACAGCACGCCAACTGAACTCATACCGACCACTAACCATTGACTCCCACTGACGTTTTGATCCCAGCACCATAGCTTGTCTTAATTCCTTACCTAAAAGAAAAGAAATGGGACTAAGATTACCTTTTATTTCCAGAAAACTGGACTCAACCTTTTGTATCGTTTAATTTTTTATTATTTTTATTGATAAAGATTTTTTTTTTTTTTTTTTTCAGTTGGCCGATCTTGTATTACAGTGCATTTGTGTGAAAATGTATTAAATTAGTAAAGACGTCATTGTGAAGCTTTTGTGTTGTGCATTCTTGTAAAAATGGAATCACTTCCATTTACAAGATCTATGATATCAATTAGCATCAGGCGACTGGATGATGGACATACTAACTTGTGAAGTTATTTCCAGATAAACAGAGGCTGTAATACAGCATCTTAACTGTCTTCTGGTGTGTGAACTCAGCTGTAGTATTTAATTGACTATGACTGTATATAATTGACACACTCAAGGTGATTATTTACAGTAAATGAACAGACATTTACGGTACTATGGGGAAAATAAACAAATACAAAGCATAAATGTTATGGCTCTAAAAATTCAGAAACCCTTATTTGTGAAGATGCAAAAAGAAAAAAAAGCTAAATTTATCTTAGTGCAGTACAGTTTTACATTACTCTAAGTATGGTGTCAGTAAAATGCATAAAATTTTCTTTGAGGAACAAAATAATTAATGACAGTGCAGAGTAATAAGAGCTGTCTATTGTGTTGATTTTTTCAATCATTTTCTCAACTTTTTAAATATATGGGCTACATTCATGCTGCACCATTTTTAATTTTGTTTAAAAAAATACAAATAACGTTGTTTTTGACTCTGCATTACAAGCACAGTGTGTCATTTTAACACATAAGTCAATGTTACATTATGATTGATAAATGCTGGACAAGCATTGTTTGCTCAATAAATCAATTCACTATGTCAAAATAGGAGCGCTAAGGCTTGCAGTGAACGTAGCATATCTATAAGTCAGTCACATATTTTTACATATAAAATAAAAAAGGAGGCCTGCGTTATTCTTAAAAATCATGCTTTTTAATGATAGGATGCATCCTTGATCACTGTCAACTTAGTCAAATCAAATGATGTCTCACTTTAATGGAATTGTAACAGGACTGACAAACATGGGGACAATTGTAAATCTATTTGTAATACATATATGTAGATTTTATAATTTCATGAATTCAGGTGATTGATAACAAGCTATTTCTGAAGTACTTTTTTTCTCTAAGTTTTTATCATAGCAAAATTCTAAAAGCTGTACTGTATGTTCAATTGGGCTGAAGACTGAATGACAGGGTTTACAGATGTACAATGCATTTTAATACAGCAATCTGAGAACCAAATGAACGACATATTCCTTCACAGATCAACTCGCATAAGTAAACCATCAGTCTATTTTAGGCATAAAATACTTTTATTCACTTTGTTTTTATTTTAGGGACAGATAATGTACGTTTCTGGTAGAATATGTCCCACAATTGAAGTCGGGGTCAGTTGGGTGGGTGTGACAACTGTCAGACCTGGATCTGAAATTTTACTCGCAACAGTATGTCACAAACTTTGTAAACAGGTAAGACATAATTCACATAAACAAAAAATTTTTTACACGCACTTTAACTCTTAAGAAACACAAATTAATCTTTTAATTTTAGTCTTATGGAACCAATATGTGACTAAGGTTCGAATAATACTCGTGAGGTTCTTAAGATATGATCATATATGAGTGCGCGTTTATGAGGCTTTCCTACGATCGTAGAGCAGATTTTAGGTATTGCTTTTAGGATGGCGTTTGTTTGCTGCTCGCGCTTTTCAGACTGCAGGTCTGCACCAAAGCAGCGTCGAGGGCGCCCTCTAATGAGGAAACAGCGAAACACATGTATTGAGTTCTGATAAAAACAAAAGCAGTTCAGTGGTTGTAAATTAGAAGTGGACCAAACATGTTTTAAATAAAAATATCCCCACCTCTTATAGCCTAGCATCTGATACTGAATAACAAAAGCAAATATATATTCGAGCATTATGAATGTGACAAATACAATCTCAAAACATAAAGTCGCAGAGAAAGTGTGTTAACATTACATCAAAACATTTGTTTATATTTTCCAAAACAACTCACCACAGAGGTTTGCAATCAAAAAATATCAATCTGTAAACATTTCTCATATTTTAACTGAGGAAAATTAACATGCTTTAGGGATGTGACCAAAAAGTTTGCAGGTTTACAGTAGATCACACACTTTGCATGTTCACTGTTTTCATGACAAGGCTGACATTTGCATGGAATTGATCATGTTTCCATAAGAAATCCTTCGGCAACTGATTGAACGAGTTCTAAAATGTGTCCATGGGGTCTTTTAAACTGGCAAGATTACATCTTATTTTAAAAAGAAACTAGGAATAGTGAGTGCACAGATGAGAACACGCCACTACACAACAAGAATTATGATCATTTCTAAAGACGCTGATACAAAAGATCTGGAAGACATTTTTATTTCAGTGTATGAAATGTGACTATAACGATGACACTGATGCATGACTGAAGCAACATAAAAATATCACTGCCCATTACAGTGACATCACTCTACAGACATGAGCTATGAAACACTGAATGTGATGCTCGCAGAACTTTTTCTTGCTGTACTCTGGCATGTTGTTTTTTTAAACTTTATAATAAACTTAAGTATCTTTATATATTAAAAATCAGTGTAGGGAAGTTTCAGTTCTTTGTTCCGATTCCTCTTCAGTATCTTGGCTTTTCATTGGCTGGTCTTTTGAATTAGCAGGCGATCTTAATACTAAAGTGGACAGGCGCTGAACAACAAGATCCGCTGTTGTCTTCAGACTGTGCTGTTGGTGGGTGAAGAGAATGTTGACAGAATTATAATTCTCATTTACTGGGCCTCATGCTCTTCAAAAACCCATAAGTCATAGTCATCTACACAACAAACTAAATGTGAGAGATTGCTGACATTATATTAAAATGTATTCAAGCAAAACCCAAATGCTTTAAAGGGTCACGAAACACCAAAACACATTTTTTTTGAGCTGTTAACAGTCATATAGATATGTCCCACACTGCTAAAAACACTATTAGGACACATAGTTTTAGCTAAGTGAAAATTGATTGTTTTTACTTTATTTTGCTCAAATTTGTTCTTTCTGGTTTGAAAAGCAATTTTGAAGCAACGTCACAGCGATTAGATCCTTTTGTAAATTTCAGCGTGGAGATTGGATGTCTGTATCGGCGGGTACAACGTGACGTCTGAGTTTTGAGCATTAGTTCATGAGAACGGCTTGGGAAGTTTGCACTTGAGGTGCAACTTCATTACTATGCATGATAAAGCTTTCAAGACTGTTTTTACCTGTTACAGTGTTCAGAGAGACGCCAGGTTATTCGGAGACATTGGTTGTAAGTGTTGCATTTATAAACATCGCATGTTTCGCATGCCGATCGCATATGTGGATTACAGTGGTCTGCTAACATGCGGCAAAAATATGCTTATAAGGAATTTTCTTTACCAGAGACAAATTTTGTGAAAGGATAGTCTATACACACAAGGCTGTTCGACGCTATTATCTGCACCTATAGTGTCTCTCCACCTACTGAGAAATGCAGAAGTTTTTCCCCATACATCATGCGGTATCAAAAATTGCATTAAACTAGACTCTTCCAGCAGTTCCTCGCATCTAATATCTCATTTGTCACGGGGGCATACATCAAATGTTCCTGAATAAAAATGAAAGTGCCAAAATGCAGTTAAAGTTGACAAAATAAGAATGAAACACCCAAAACTACATAAAATTCTAGAGGAAATGTGAATAGCGTGGTGGCACAATGACGTTAATCAATCTTGGTGCTATAAAATGTAAAATGGGATCATGAAAGGAACATTCAAAAAGTAACTCATGTAAACACCTTCATCATATTATTAGGTGCGTCCCAAATTGCATACTTATGCACTATTCTAAGCGATTTTGTATCAAAAATAGAGTAAGTAGTGCGTTCACACTGAAAACTCTCAAAATAATAAATGCACTTTAAATACCCGGATGATGCACTTATTCAACCGCTAAAATGAAGTGTGGAATGATGGTTATACTCACTTTGGTACTTTGTTCATTTATCTAGCTAATTTTGAAACCGGCAAACGTTATCTGGGAAATGGGTTGAGTAGTATGTCCGAATTCAAAAAATTCAAAAATCAGTATGCGAGAAGTACCTTGATGACTTACTCTTTCTGACGAGCTTCTAAAGTGTGCATCCCATGCACACTGCACTATCCCATGATGCCCCGCGAGAGAATTCATAAATGGGAGTGTAGCGACGCAACTGACGCAGGTAGGTCACCTGACCATGACAAAATGGCGGATGTAGTACATCCGAATTCCTTTCATACTTTTCACATTCATACTGTATAGAACGTACTTTTCTAACAGCCGAGTAGTACGTTTAAATTCAAATGCAGTACCTAATGAGTAGTAGGCGGTTTCGGACGCAGCCTTAGTGTTCCATTTGGGAGACACAACATACATATACTATAGAATACTGTTGAGTGTGTAAGTGCATAAGTACTTAGTGCATGAGTGCATATTGTATAGTGTGCTATTTGGGACGTCTTATTCAGATTAAGGCAAATATTTTGATTACTGATGTCCATGTAAACGTAGACACTATGTACCCTGCGTCTTTGTTTGTGTTACACATGCTGATTTTCACAGCGGCATGAACTAAAACTCCCCTTTTAATGCAAACCCTTCCCTCATTCGCCACTCAACACTCCCACCTATTTATGACCCTTTAAAATGAACATATGGAAAACCGATCAGTTTAATCTAAGTTTATCTAACTGATACAAAGGGCTTAATTTAGGCTTGACACAGACTTCCTGACAAACTTTTAAAGGATGTAGATGTAGGATCCAGAAACCTTTCATATCTGATTACATACATTTCCATATGTCTTTGTAAGAAACAATACATTTAGCAGTTTGGAACAACATGAGGCTTAGCAATTGAAAGCAAAATAATTTTAGGACCAAACTTGGCCGTTAGTAAACACTGAAATATGACTAATAAATCCGCCCACCTGTAGTATATGCAGGCCTTTTAACGTAAGAACAGCTAGTTCCTTCAGTCCGTCTCCTGTCAGGTCGAGATAAATCAGTGACAGCAGGGGACTTTTAAAGCTCCGTCTCCACAGCGGCTGTAACTTTTCTTCAAAAGTTTCGGATGTTTGGTCAAATTTGTAGCAGAGCAGATCCTGGATTTCACAAATCATACACATCAGTGTAAATGTTGGTGAGCTGCTAATATTTCTGTTTACTATTTGTTCTAAATTCTTTCAATGCTGCACACGTTTTTAATCAAGGTACCTGTCCATACGTTCCCAGCAGCAACTCATGCTGTCCATCAAAGTCCAGATCAACAACAAGGGCACATAGAACTGCATCACACTGGTCACTTTCTGCCAAACACAGCTGTCTGCTCAGTCCATACTGCTCTACATCCCTGAACACAAACATTTATTACACAGTCCACCAGACACATGGCACAGAACAACACACTGAACTGAGTTTTAACCTGTAAACAACAGCCATTTCTATCGCACTGGTGACCAGCAGATTAAATGTAACCCTTTGATTACCTGTGGGACAAAAAGACAGATAAAGAGAGGTTAATGATGAACGCCTCGTGGCTAATGATTTTAACCTCAAATAAAAAATATGTAAATTCAACATTATAATTAAAATATTAGAAATGCTGAAAACTGCATGGTTGCAACAAAAACATTCAAACAAGTTTTTAACTGCTTAAGCACATTTTCAAAACGGTTTCCCCTTTTTTTTATAACTCTACACACAATTCTCAGAACTGCACACACTGAATGCAAAATGCCTCACATCTGCTTCAAAATGTAACACTGCATTCAAAATGCCCTAAACACATGCCAGAATGAAGCATCAAATGGCAAACACTTGCTTCATAAAATAACACTTTTGAATAGAGCACGCCAACACTTTCATAGGCTTTTATATACAATTCAATACCATGTTCTACAGTAACAGTAATCGGCCAAGAGGGGGAACAGGTACACTGTAAACACCAATCACATGTAGAAACAGAAAAAAAAATCATGATGGGCCAATCGTGATGAGTTTCATTTTTAGGGAAAAGTGTCCTTTGACTGGAGAGGCATCATGCGGGCATAGGGTTGGCCATCATGCACTTTACAGAACCAGGCTGAGAAGAATTCCTCTATTCTTTTCTAGCAATTTAGGATTTAGAAAAGGTGAATATGCAGGTACAAAACTACAAATTGCAGACCAGTTGTTTTTTTTTTTTTTGGCCCAGAACAGCCCGGTGTCCTGTCACCTTTGACCTATTTATAGGCCTATACTACAGTAAAGCAGTGACTGGTTAGTGATCAGTAAAGAAATTAGCCTTTCTACATTTAGGGAGTGTGTGACATGCTAAATAAGTATAACATTTTGACTGGTTGTGTTTGGAAAAAGAAAGCAAGTAACTTCTTGTCAGACTGTAGCGTTTCATGTAGAGGTGTGTAGTGTTTAAGTGTTTTATGCAATTAAAAACTAAGTTTGAGGCTGAGGAACAGCTTATGTATTTGGAAATTTGCTGTGTAGTTTTGCATTTTGAGAGTGTGACAAGAAAAGATTGTAAGCAATTGGAAAAAAACAGTAAACATTTATATAACATTAACGTCACATTTAAAGGGATAGTCCACACAAAAAATGAAAGTTTCCTTCCTCACTATTTTCTCTTATTCAAGTGGTTCGAAACTTTTATGAAATGTTTTCTGCTGAACACTAAACAAGTTATTCTGAAAAATGTTGGTGAAAAGCAGCCATTGACAAACAAATAAAAGGTTTTGAAGTCAATGGATATTATCTTTCCTAACATTCTTCACTATATCTTCCTTTGTGTTTAACAGAAAAAATTAAATCAAAGAGGTTGGAAACAAGTGGAGGACTTGTAAGTGATGACAGAATTTTCATTTTAGGGTGAACTGTCTCTTTAACACTGGATAAAGTTATGCTGAAAAATCTATCATAGTAATAAAAAAGTGAGTAAAGTAAAATAAAGTAAATAAGTAAAAATATGCAACCAAGAAAAAGCAATCATTTTTAAGAAGTCAAAAAGCTGCTTTACTTCTAATATAATAAATGTCTGTAAATCAATGAATCACTGAGAACTATTTAACCAGTGTGTATAAATTTGTAGACAATGTAATTCGATGATAGTGTAATTAAATTGAAGGATTTATCGTTGATTGGTCTATTTAGACAATCTCTATAAAATTATCCTGTAAATGCATAAAACAAATTATACACACACTTTATTTTTAGTATTTGCGATTATAGCTTTAGCCTTTAATATATTATCCTTTTAATAACATCTGCAATGGGCTAGTAAACGCTTTTGTTGCAATTACCCTCCATGTTCTGACTGCTTTCAAACAGTCAATGATTTCTTGAGTTGATTTAAAGCAGGGGTGTCAAACTGGAGGGCCACTACCCTACACAGTTTAGTTCCAACACACTTACCTTTAGGTTTCAAACAAGCCTGAAGGACTCAATTAGTTTGATCAGGTGTGTTTATTTAGGGTTGTAACTAAACAGTGCAGAGCTGCAATCTTAGACAAAGGGCTCTATTTTTATGATCTATGCGCAAAGTGCAAAGCGCAGGGCGAAAACGCATGAAGGGCGTGTCCAGGGCCGGAGTGGGACTCCTTTTTAGCCCTGAAGTTTGAAGCCTTAGACCGGCCCACCTCAGTTCACGACTGATTATATTAAAATAACGTTTTATAATAAATACATTTTATAATAAATAAAATTGATTTCTGATCAATTTATGTCAGATTTATTAATGTAGTGAATCAACTGATTTTCATTGAGCAGGTGTAATATTCATTAATAATAATTCGAATTCTTATATTCACTAATGTGCCGCTGTTTGGGGTCGAATTATAGTTACATTATCATTAACCTGCAGGCTGCATTTTTCTTAGGGGCTGCGGGAAAATAAATCAAAAGGGCGGAGCTGCGGCAAAATAATGAATAAAAAAAATGAGACCATGGTCAAAAAAATAAATAAATGAAAAAAGTGTGACTGCTGAGAGTGCAAGCAGCTAGGCACACTGGCCCTCGCGGCCAAAAAACGGACCGGCCCACCGGGAATTCTCCCAGTCCTCCCGATTAGCCAATCCGGGCCTGGGCGTGTCAGAATCCACTTTTACTATTTTAAGGATGGAAAAGTCTGCTTTGCGCCATGGCGCGTGGTCTAAAAGGGTTGAGCTTATTTTCTTTATAAGTTATAGGTGTGAGAATGAGAGATGAGCCACCTCCTTATTTACATTTACTTTCACTCTCGTGGATAAGGAAACCTTGTACGCACAGACATCCATTAGCCTATACATAATTAATTTAGTTTATTAAGCACAAAGATTTTTTTAAAAACTATTTCTAAATTCAGTTTTAATTTTCAGCAAACGAATAAATGAACAATAATAATGAAGTGTGGTCAAAAACCTGAGTTAAAACCAAATACACATGCTGTGCCCCATATGGTCTGAAGCCTGACAAGTGGGCAAATCTAAGCTTGTTTTTAATAAAACAAATATAAATATGGATATAATAAATAATACTGCTAATAATGATAACATTAAACAAAGGCAAATTGTCATTAATAAACTGAAAAAGCCCCAGAGATGAAGAAGGCTTGAAAGTAGGGTTTTTATATTTGTGTAAGCTAGAAAATAATATTTTGTTATATTTTAATCCTTTATATTTATATTGTATATATCCTGATTACATATCCTTAATATTTTAATTATTTTTCATGATTTAATTCTTTTCTAAATGCTAAACTAACTCGCTCTGTGCTGGACAATAGACCGGCTTTGTTCTGGTCTATAAAAAAAGTCTATTAAAGTTTCTCAAAATAGCAACGCTCCAGCAATGCGCCTCACCACACCTCCTGTTTTAGACCAGAACGTTTATGAGCGCACATATGAGCACAAATGCATTTGCTATTTAAGCAGCGTGGCACAAAACGTCAAAACTACTCTTGCGGCAAGCTAAATCTAGCAAAGAACAATTGTGTCCACCTTGCGCCATGTGTATGATAGAACCCAAAGTCTTTGACACTCTTCTTGTTTTAAGGCAATTTCAGATTGTGATGATTTGAGTAGTATTACACTCACTCTTTGTGTCCGTGTTCTGCTGATGCTGCTTTAGAGGAAACAATAAAACAGTGGAGATGGGGCTGTCATGCTGCACACGCCAGTTCTGGAGAATCTCTAGGAAGGAAAATGTGCAACAAACAAACAAACAGAATGTGTATTTAGCTAAATCACTATTTTTTTAAAGGGACAGTTTAACAAAACTGATATTCTGGTATTATTCACTCACCCTTCACTTAACACAAACATGTTTGGTTTTTTTTGAGAAGATATTCTGAAGAAATCTGAAGACCTGTGACCACTGACTTCCATTGGATTTTTTTTCTTTAAATATTTTTGCTGCTTGTTCAAACTTCTAATTTAAAATGAGGTAAATCAACACAATTCTTGTTTTTTTTTTGGGAGACAACTTAATTGTTTTATGTTCAATCCACTTAATATAACTTAATATAAAAGTTTACTTAATATATTTGTGTTCGGACCCAGCATTTTTATAGTAGACTATAAAAATCGATGGACTCAAAAAAATGCAGGGTTCCACACAAGTCCTTCATCTTGTCCCAACACAAATATATTAATTTAATGCAACAAATATAAGTGGATTGAATATACAACATTCATTCATTCATTTTCTTGTCGGCTTAGTCCCTTTATTAATCCGGGGTCACCACAGGGGAGTGAACCGCCAACTTATCCAGCAAGATTTTACGCAGCGGATGCCCTTCCAGCTGCAACCCATCTTTGGGAAACATCCACACACACTCATACACTACGGACAATTTAGCCTACCCCTTTCACCTGTACAGCGTGTCTTTGGACTGTGGGGGAAACCAGAGCACCTGGAGGAAACCCACGCGAACGCAAGGAGAACATGCAAACTCCACACAGAAACGCCAGCTGAGCCAGCGACCTTCTTGCTGTGAGGCGACAGCACTACCTACTGCGCCACTCCTTCGCCCCTGAATATACAACAATTACTATAAAATCTCAAGAATTCTGCTGTTTCAGCTCATTTTAAATACATAGTTTAAACAAGCAGCAAGCAAAGTTAAGTTTTGAGCTTTCTTTAAAATAACTTCTTTTAGGTTTAGCAGAAAAAAAGAAAGTCAAAGGTTTGGAATCGCTTGAGGTTGATTACATAGTAAAAACTTTTCATTTTGGGGTAAACTATCCCTTTAATGTGATAAAAGCATGAATGTGTGAATCACAGTATGAGTGGATTTTCTCACCAGGTCCCTTTTGGTTGACGACAGAAAGTCCCACACAACCGCTCTGACATCCAAACGCAGTGAGGCGCCGATTTTGATCAAGACTCAAGACATCTAACCATAACACACTGTGATGCACAGAAAGTACACAGTAATTACCATCTAACATAATGATACACTCATCATATAAGCCTGTTCATCTGAAAAAAAGAAAGACTCACTTGCTCGGCAGGTCCTGCAGTTCAGGAAAGAGTCTTTCTACAGGCTGCTCCTCAAACTGGTGCAAAGAGGCATTCTACTGATCAGACACAGAGGACGAAAGTTTAGACTATTTAGTATGAAAGTGTTGGAATACATATTTATAAAAAGTTCAATTTAGGTTCCAATAAAAAGTTTATAGCTAAAAGCTTAGGTACATTGTGTTTTACATTGAAACTAATGTAAAAAAAATGAGTCTGGCAGCCTGAGACACCTTTTTTCTTTACCATTGGGGCAGGGTCCCAAAGTATCAGGGTGGGTGGAACAAGTCTAAACAAGACTTTGAACAATCCCATTCATTTAAATGCTTTCTTAAAGTTGTGTGTGTGTGTGTATATATATATATATATATATATATATATATATATTTTATAGGGCAACAATGCTTTGTTAGATTTCTAGTAGACTTGAAGATCCGTTTCACTGCAACACAACCCGCACTTTCTCAATAAAAGAATCCTTTTTGAAGACAAGGTTCTCCTGGTTTTGGCCTTTAAGTTTCTTACAAAATTATGAGAGACAAATAAACATTCTGAATACATGTATCTGCCTGCCTGACCTCTTTGTAAAGATGTATGCGCTGATCGTGTCCACTGAGGAGAAAGACTGTCTCACTGGATCCATCGGCACAGTGCACTCTGCAGATTAAAACATGTACTTCTGAACACTAAAACTATTTGTTTGAAAAGATATAAATATTGCGGGGAACTTTTGTCAAACATTCAACAGCAAAATGACCCACTCACTCGGTGTGATAAAGCTGGAAAGGAGTGAACTGGAGCTCCAGGTTCAGACAGCTTTCTGTCAACAGAATGAAGATTATTCAGTTAGGACCGGTTTAATATTATGTTAGATCCTTATATTTACAGAGTCTATCAATGTGTCAACATTGAACTATCATATAGTATGGTGTAAGATTTTAAAATATGATAACCTTTTATGGTATTGTAATTACAGCTCTAAAATATACTCTTTTTAAATGTCTGGGCAAAACAAGTACATTTTTTTCTGCTTTGAACACAATGGCTGCGTCTGAAATCCCATACTTCCATTCCATACAGTACATTAAAATTAGTATGTGAGCCGAGTAGAATGTCTGAATTTATAGAATTCGAAAAATAGTATGAGACAAGTACCCAGATGACTTACTACTTCCAGCGAGATTCTGAGGTGTGCATCTGATGGATGCTACACTATCCCAAGATGCACAGTTGCATAATTTTTGATTGGGAGTGAAGCAGATATGTCATGTGATGATGACAAAATTACATGTTTAGTACGTCTGATCTCTTTATTTACACTAAGTAAAAAAAGACATATACCGTAGGAATGGTTGACAGGAAATTTTGGCAGTTTTAAAACCTTGACTTCTCCAATCCGCGGTATAACTTGAAAATGGTTATCGTCCCATGCCTACTCAGCATATAGCATGATTTGAGTCATTTGTGATATTATCACCAGCGTGTAGATCTATAACCAAAAAAATTCAACTGAACAAAATGACAAACTCACGTGCAATAGACTCCAGGTTAAACTCTGACCCTGGCTCATAATCACAGTAAATGTTAAGGAAAGGAGTTGCTTTGTCCCCAGAGTCCTGAGAGGAAAGAGATCAATGAGATATGTGATTTAAACATTTACAGGATATTTTTCATATTGATAGTTTGTCAAAATGATAAAACATTTCATTCAAGTGTTTAATCGTCTGCTGCAGCGCTTAATAATGTTAGATAGCTAAGATAGTCAATCAGATCAGAGAAGGCAGGGCTTTAATACTGAATTCAATACAGAATTACAGCAGGACACTTTAGATTATAAAAGTCTAAGAATCTGAGGTAAAAAGTCATCAAATGTTTAAAATTTTACAATGTTTCATTATAAAAAAAAAAGCAATATGATCAACAGGAATATAATGTGATGCTAATTTCTGGGCATTTTAGTCAAAATTATGCTGTTTTGGATTTACAATATTGAAAAAAATGATTTATATGATTTATGTGGAGCTTAATGTGCATTGTTACTATGCTATGAACACATTCACTCTTAACCATATACAAATATTACTTATACATTGATACATTGATAAGAAAAACAATGTTAATGTTAAATCTTATTCAATCTGTAAATTTAAATAATACCCCAATGGATATGTTCCATCTAAAATTGCAGTAACCAGCTATTTACACATCTCAGTCAATCAGTTACTGATGATGAAGCACACCTTAATAAAGGTTATTCCTACGACCAGTCCTCTTTTAGGGGCTGATTTGTTGAAGGCGTCAATGGACACGATTTCTGCATCAACTTTATTGCAAGAGAAGAGAAATATTATTTCGTTGCACAGCTAAAACAGAAGGTTTTGGACGCGCACGAACAGTCTGTCACCTGGTATATAAGTGAACTGAATCTCTTTGGCCACAGGTCTGATCTTCTTCTGTAGGTCTTGGTATCTAAAACACACTACTTTCCCCTTCAGAGTGGCTGCCAGCAACTCCTGCTCGCCTGCCTGGCATAGTCCGTAGATGTTACTCTGCGAAGGAAACCGACTAAAACTATCTTCCACAAAGGGACACAAGCCTTTTATGTCGGGTAACATATTACAGAAAAATACAGTAATCCATTAAACAAAACAGCTAGAGTTTACTGTCAGGCGAGTGATGAAAAGAACAACATCCGGGTATGGGCGTGATTGTGATCAAAACTGACCAATCAAATAGGATTTTCAAACCGATTGACAAATCAGAGATATCCCAATGTGGCTGCCGTCATCAACTGTCGCCAACGATGAAATAAAAGTAGTCAAGCATTTCCGCAGTAATTTGTTTCAGGTACATTGGCAGGTGGCCTTATTACTTTAGATATTTAGGATTCATTAAACTAAAAGAAGTGAGCTGCTAACTCTATTGTGTGTGCAATGTTTGCGATGATATTTTCGTTTTTATTAACAAGAACCAGCATGTATTCTTATACAACAAAATCACTTTACATTTCTTAACACGAATAGAATAAACATTATGCACATAATTATCAAAATTACATATACATATATTGCACACATTGTTCCTATTTTAGTTATTAACAAGGGTTATTAACAGTGGCGTAGCGGGCGGGCCCCGCGTGATTAGGGGGCCCCGCGTCGTCGCGATTTTCAATAATTAGAAATCCGGCAACCGCAATAATCAAACTCTTGGGAAAACCTGTGATCGGAACCAAAGTTCACAGGTCTGTGTTCTCTGAACACCTCTCAAGCGGTGGACTACTTAATTCTGATTGCTTGCTGCCAATGTTGCCAACTTAGCGACTTTGTCACTAGATTTAGCGACTTTTCAGACCCTCTTAGGGACAAATCTAGCGACTTTTTTTGTGTTATTGGAGATTTTTTTAGACTGTCATTTGTCCATACTGTACCGTCCCTACTCTTCTGAACGAGCTGCGTGTGATGCCGCCGGCCCCTCCCCCGCCTCACAGCACTGACAGGCGGCCCAGTCAGTCCTCTACAGCAGCCTCTCCCACCTGCAGCCCGAGAGCAGATGCGTACCGACGACAAATGATTTAGCACAGGCAGTGTGAAGGTATTTACCTTGTACAGTCAAACCGATCTACTTCTCCTTTATTTTAACAATTTATTTGGACCGTTTATTCTTTTCTTGTTTACAATCACAGATATTTTAGTGACTTTAGTTTCTGAACTTGTCTGAGTTTATTCCATATGAGAGATTACTGCACATTCACTAACGTTACACATCTATAATGACATACTGTATTCAACAGCAATACATTTAGTTAAAAACATGCTTATATAAAGTGTAGTGCAATTATAAATACCCCTTTATTAACCATAGGCTGTTAAACAAATGGTAGAACGTGATGACGTCAGTGGTATGCAAATTGACGTATGACGTTACCCCCCCCCCCCCCCACTACATCAGGGGGCCTGTCAGCGATCCCTGCAGGGGGGCCTCCGCATTTTGCGCTACGCCACTGGTTATTAAATGTACTTTTACTACAGAATATACCACATATATACAAACATTTTATGCAAAAATGTTAAAGGAGGAGCATATATTAACTGTTTTAAGAAATCACTTTTATATACATTTGAATCTCTTTCTAGCACCATGAAGAGAGGTTTGCTTTTGGCAAACTGGAATTTATTTATGTGAAATTTACACAATAAAAATACTATATATATATATATATAGTTGAAGTCAGAATTATTAGTCCCCTTTGAATTTTTTTCTTCTTTTTTAAATATTTTCAAATGGGTTTTTAACAGCAAGGAAATTTACAGTATGTCTGATAATATTTTTTCTTCTGGAGAAAGTCTTATTTGTTTTATTTCGGATAGAATAAAAGCAGTTTTAAATTTTTTAAACATCATTTAAGGGACAAAATTATTGGCCCCTTTACGCAATTTTTTTCTTGATAATCTACAGAATAAACCATCGTTATACAATAACTTGCCTAATTACCCTAACCTGGCTAGTTAACCTAATTAACCTAGTTAAGCCTTTAAATGTCACTTTAAGCTGTATAAAAGTGTCTTGAAAATGATCTAATACAATATTATTTACTGTAATAATGACAAAAATAAAATAAATCTGTTTTTAGAAATGAGTTATTAAAACTATTATGTTTAGAAATGTGCAAAAAAAATCTTGTCTCCGTTAAACAGAAAATGGGGAAAAATTAAATGGTTTAATAATTCAGGAGGGCTAATAATTCTGACTTCAACTATATATATATATATATATATATATATATATAACTTTAACTTTTTTTCCTCACCACCACACTGGTCATTTTCACAAGACAAAATTTTTTTGTTGGAAACTGTTCTTTATATACTGAAATTTGACTTTTGCATGCTAAAAGTACTTGAGTAAAAGACGTTTTACTTGATTTGGGTCATTAAAAAACCCGACTACCAGAAATATGATATAGGTAGCCTATATCTGCTGTATTCAACCTAAAACCTACAGTAGGTTGATATAAAACTAAAACAATACCCATTTTTGTCTTAGGACATTTTATTAAGCAAATTTATTTGTTTTGAATGACCATAAATTCATGACATGTTAAATATATAGTAAATCTGCTGGTTTTAAACATACAGAATAATGATAAATACAGTTATGTAACAACTATAACATTACAGTTATATTTTAGGACATATTAACTACACCAAATGTTGACTAATGAAGGTACATTTCTAACAACTATTTATTTGTTAGACTACTGTATTGTCAAACCATGTAGCAAACAAATGCATTCAACAGACTTTTATGACATTGCTGTAGAAAACAAATAAAACACGAGACGGGTGTTTGGAAAGAGTATAGTTTATTTTGTTTGACCTGCAAACTTATCTAAACAAGATAAACTTTCAGAAAACAGCCCGGAAACATTATAATACGCACGCTCGTTAATATAACCCGTGGTTGTCTTCAACGGTTGTCCTTCTTTGCTCAACAACTCAGCTGAAAAACAAAGGAAAACATTACAACAGTCAGACAAAGAGCAAAGAGCATAGCATCACCAAGAGGCGACACTCTAGTGCAGTTTGGGAAATAGACACTAGATGGCGCGGCGGCAATTTTATTGACACTATCAACACTTTTGATAGTAAGTGTTGTATTGTCGTCTCTCAGGTTGTATCTCAGCTTTAATGCGCTTTTGAATAAATTAATTAAAAACAAAGCAGCTGCTTCCCATCGCGACTGCAATGAGATTCAATGGACGGCCGATCGCTTTCACTTCAAAATGGCGGATTGCGAGGCTGTTGCAATGGAATGTTCTATTGAGTGTCGCCTCTTGGTCATTCTAAGCTCTTTGCATAAAGTTAAATCATAACAGTCACCATGGTTTCTATTTCAAACTATAGTAAACTAAAGTTTGAATAGTTTAAAATAGACAATGAGTGGGCCTCGCTGCTCCCACCCACCATAACCTTCGCAGCGAGGTCCCATCACCGGCCTCCCGTGTTTCCCTGAGGGTCTTCAGGGCTTGTTTGTTCCCTGCCTTGGGCTCAAAAGCGCCTCGCCCCAGAGAGTGCACGAGAAAACCGGGCGCCAGGCCGTGCCAGTGTTCACTGGATGTTGCTCAACGGCACATTTCGAGCAAAAAACACGTAATGTTCTTCGCGATGTTGCGTTTATGTAGGCAAACCGCAAGGAACTACAGCAAAGACGGCCCTGAGTGAAGCTTCACAAAGCGGACTTCGTGAGATTGGCGTGGCTCCACTCGTACTGTCAGTATTAAACTCACCTTGGTCAAGTACAAACAGCAACACCGAGGGAACTGACAATGCTGAGAGAGAACCGACAAGCTTTATATGAATGCAGATGCAAATTTTTACAGGACACGTCACTGCTGTGAGTCTTCAGCGCTCACCTAATTGGAGCACACAGACTCGGGAATCTGCGTCATGGCGAATTGCGGTCTGCTGTGGACAAAAACATATTAATTATATTACATATATATTTTTACATTTTTGTTGCTGTGTAATATTCTGGGATGCAGTAGAATGTGGAGACAGATGAATATAATTGGGTATATGCCGAGCTAGTGTTGCTCCCATACTTATAAACTTCGGGTGACCTGTTATAGTGAGTTTTTTTTTTTATTTTTATACAGTGCCTTTTACAGCATCTATGTTGTAATGTAATTAAAATACATGCAGTTAAATAAACTTTGGCATTCATTTAGTTGTTCAAGTGTAAAACGATTATAAAGACATGGCGAGGAAAATGTAATTTAATGCAGTGCTTCTTGTACAACCTGAGACCCACTTTATATCGGATATTACTCAGCTAATGGAGACCTTTAATCGCGCAGATTTTTCATAAAGTTCACCGGAAGCGCTTAACCCAGATTACTGGCAAATTAAAAGTCCTATTATCATACTTCGGCATGTAGTGTTGGACAGTATCGTCGCTACAAGTAGTGACGCTAACGTTACTAGCTTAACTACATTTCTCAGTACCGTGGCTGTAGCGTCTCTACTTTCTAAATCAAATAGCTTTTCAGTAGCGAAGCGATTTTATTAGTCAAGTAGTGCAGTAGTGTCCACACAAGCTACATTTACCGATCGTGGATCAATAAGTGACGGCACCGACATTCGCTGAGCTGTGAGGCCGGTGTCTAGCAATGGAAGTAAATCCATATGATAGAGAGAAGAATTTCTTCTTCTTCCTGTTTTACGGTGTTCGACAACAAACTTTTTGGTGCGTTACAGCCACCTCTGGTAAAACTTGCTAAATGGAAAGATGACTGAGGGAGAGGAGTTATTTCTGAAGCAGGATTCCTTGTGACCATACCTCGAGAAGTACATGTTAAGATGCAATAATTTAATTTCTGATGCTTTCCCCCCCAAAAAATACTTTAGTAAGTATAACACTATATATATATATATATATATATATATATATATATATATATATATATATATATATATTTTTTTTTTTTTTTTTTTTAATCAAAAATATTTCCCTTTACTATAAATGACAATCAAAACATCATTGAGAGTTGTAAGCTAAAGGTAAATATACCAAAATATATTACATTAAAGTTGCCTCGGGTCATTTTCTTGTTTTTCATAATATTTAAAAATAAATAGAAAAAATCATTATAAATTGGATTAACTAATGCAGTGTATTTTCTGAAAAGTAA